TAAAATTTACTCGTTTATAAAATACCGACCCTTTGATCTATGCTTTGTAAAGATGATAGATTCTTCTGTTAAAAATCGGACATTCATTTTGACCAATATTGGATTTATTAATATTGAACACTTCGACCATTTGAGAGCGAGGTACCAGAAGAAGTGGAATAATGGGTCCGACTGATATTAGATTTAGAAATATTGACAATTTTGGCCATTTGTGGGGGATGTACCAGAGGTAGAAGGCAAACGAGTCCCATTTTGGGATTTGATTTAGACTTGGCCATAACAATAATAGGTTGTGCAAATTTTGAAAGGAGTTGACCGACATTCTATCTTCGAACTTGAAGTATGTTTGGAAGAAATATTACTATGTGCAAAGTTTGGATGAATATTTTACTCCCTTCAAGAGTTATCGTGTACACAAGCCGGCCAGACCGACAGACGAACGGATATTTGTAAATAGACGCCAAACGGTCTGAAACGGATTTGGTATAAGAAGCATAGGGTCTAAAACAAATATTTCGATGAGGAACATTTTCATGTATATACCCTCATTAGCCATAAGGCTTATGGTATAAACAGTGCAATATTTATATTTAGGTACGTTTTCCATTTTATTCCATTTCCATAAATGGGAAGGGATTCTTGGTAATGTAGATTTTGCCCACATCCAATTCAACCAACAGACGATCGGCCACAAATTCAATGTATTCCGACATTAGTTCACAGTTCATGCCAATCAAGTTGCAGGGCAATGCTTCTGTCAGAAATTCTTGTTAAATTTTAACAGCCTCTCTGATGATTTCAATGATACGCTCTCGTCTGGGTTTCTGTACGAGATATTTGAACATTAAGACGGCAAAATCACAATGCAAACCTTCGTCACGGGAAATTAGTTCATTGGAGAATGTCGAGCCGGGCATAAGGCCACGCTTCTTAAGCCAAAAGATGGAGGCAAAACTGTCACTGAAAAATATGCCCTCAATGGCGGCAAAGGCGATAACACGTTCACCGAAGTTGGCTGATTCTGATTAAATCCATGATAGGTCAGCCTTCAGTCAGCCTTCTTCTTGACAGCTGGCATTGTCTCAATGGCATTGAATAGATATTCGCGTTGATCGCGTTCCTTGATGTATGTGTAGATGAGAATGCTATACATTTCCGAGTTAACATTTTCCATGGCTATCTGGAAGCCGTAGAAGCAACGGACCTCTGTCACTTGGACCTCCTGTGAGAAACGTTCAACCAAATTCTCGATAACAATGCCATCGGAGGCGCCGAAAAAGGCCAGAACATGGGAAATGAAAAAGTGTTCATTGTCGGTTAGTTTTTCCCAATCTGTTAAATCTGTAGAGAGGTCAACTTCTTCAACGGTCCAAAATGAAGCTTCAGCCTTTTTGTACATCTGCCAAATATCCAAATATTGTATTGGGAATATAACAAAACATTTGGGATTTTCCTTTAGCAGGGGTTTAATAGATGGATCAAAGGGAACAGCAGGTCGGTTGGCCAAAGATGTGCCAGCAACATTGCTTGTAGTAGTGGTATTTGTTGTTGCTTCCTTGTTGGGTACGGGTTCATCAGTACCAATTAACATTTTACATACATTATTAACATTCTCGGCAAGAATTTTACGTGGACTCTACAAACAGAATTCATCCATGTTTTCAATATTTTCTTTACCAGCAGCAAAAGCAGACGACATGTTACAAGTATTTAATATTTTATAGTTAATTACAAAATGCTTACAGTTTGAGGTACAAAGTCAGAATGACGAAAGACGCCCGATCAGTACTATAAAGTGACGAAAAAGTGCACATCGCTCAAATACAACTGAGAATACTGAATGATTGGGTCTGTGAAAGACATGAAAAATATCCGAAATTCCATCGAAAAACATAGTTACTGATTAGATCCATTTCCACCTTGTTGACTTTGAAAATTGGATGTTATTGATATAGACCTAAATGACTTTTTATATCCTCAGTCTTATGGATATACTTTGTTATAGCAAACATATGGCTTATCGATACATTGATTTTAACCCCATATTTTTCTGGCTGGCTTTCGAACCTTGTTTCCCAAAGCATCGCCAGAAATAATACCAGACCACATAGCGCCCTAGACCATCAACTCACTTTAAAAGGTTGCACAAAACAAGTGTGTATATCGGGGAACCAACTGTAGGCGTGTGGACAAATATCCATCGCTACAACAAAAATCAGCATTGAAAAGGACTGCTTCTGGGTTTGAGACAAAATGCCGTACCTTGATGTTTTTGAATTGACTTCGCAGATGCAATTTCGTAATTAGTTCCGTGCGACCTTTGTAAAGCCAAATAGCCCAATATGCCTGATGAGTCGCTTAACCAAAGGCCAAACAGGTCGCATAATGTTGGCTTTCCTCCAAATAGTAATTTATAATTAAGTCTTATGTAATAGATCGAAGACATTGCATGAATTCAAAATCTTTCAAGAACTTTTAAAAATTCTTCTATATTTGGAATACTTCCAAGGGACTTTCTTTAAGAGAAACTCTCCTAAGGCCTTCTATAGAAAGAAGTTTTTTACTTTTGTTTTTGCAAAATAGTCAGGCTGAATCCCAGTTTGTTGTTTTTATAAAAAACAACTATTTATTAGTGGGGAATGTATGGCATTGTTTGCCGAGGGGTAAGGCAAGAAAGACTATAGTTTCGGATCACGCCACTGATCCTCATCAGTCCCTTTAGTTTTTTGTTGGGATATTCTCCCCAGAAGCTATTGCTTCTATACAAAAAACCGTTCCTACCCAAATGTCTCTTGTAACAAAGCGAAGTACTTAGCTGACCAGCGACATAAACTGTATGAGAATTTCGCTGGAGCCTCACTTCGAGGTTGGGAGAATATCCCAACAAAAAACTAAAGGAACTGATGAGGATCAGTGGCGTGATCCGAAACTATGGTCTTCCCCGCCTTACCCCTCGGCAAACAATGCCATACATTCCCCACTAATAAATAGTTGTTTTTTATAAAAACAACAAACTGGGATTCAGCCTGACTATTTTGCAAAAACAAAAGTAAAAAACTTCTTTCTATAGAAGGCCTTAGGAGAGTTTCTCTTAAAGAAAGTCCCTTGGAAGTATTCCAAATATAGAAGAATTTTTAAAAGTTCTTGAAAGATTTTGAATTCATGCAATGTCTTCGATCTATTACATAAGACCATGTTCTACTATGGTCGTCCTTGCTTATTGCACCTCGCTCTCTCACTGCAGATCCGACAAGTGACTTGCAGGTCCCATTAATCAGAATTATAATTATCACTAGAACAGGATTCGTTATCTACATAGGTCGATTAAAATCGACTGGTGATCATTGTGGATAAATCCGAACAACTTCATGGAATTGAATTATGGAATACTGATTGGTCAATTACAATATGTATTACTCAGGATTGGGAAATCAGTCACATGATGACTCAGACTGGTAGAGGATAAACCAAAATTGTTTCAACATTGTAACATAATGAATATTTTGAACTCCATTGTACACAGGCTATAATTTCCAAATAAAACCAGTAAGGAAAGTTTAAAAGTCGGACGGGACCGACTATATGATACCCTTCACCACTCTGAGTACATACAAGAGATGCTCATATGTACAATATCCTTTTTTTAGAATAGACATAGCATCTTTGGAGGACCATTGAAATAGGATCGGCCGAAAATAACTGTGTACATAGATATTTGAACTAAATTAAAACGTATGGGATGGAATCTGAAAAATTGAACGCAATGCTCCATTTACACAAGATCGGAGGAAACTATATATGGGAGCAATATCTAAATCTGTACCGATTCCAACAAAACCGCATACATCAATCTGGACATAACTCAGTACTCTGTGCAACATTTTCTCTCAATCGGACCAATATTGGCAGTTTGCTGCACCATTGACATAAAACTCGGACGGAACTATATATGGGAGCTATATCTAAATCTGAACCGAAACTTAGCATACATACATTTGGACCTAATTTAGTACGCTGGGCAAAATTTTGTGCCAATCAACCTAAATTTGATTTTTTGGTGATCCATTTTCGTAAAATGGGACAAAACTATATCTAAATATGAACCGATTCCAACAAAACTTCGCATACATTAATCTGGATCTGATTCGGAACTCTGTGCAAAATTATGTCTCAATCGGACCAATATTGGCAGTATGGTGCTCCATTTACATAAAATCGGACGAAACCATATATATGGAAGCTATATCTAAATCTTAACCGATTTCAACAAAACTTGACACACATCAATCTAGACCTAAGCCAGTACTCTGTGCAAAATTGTGTCTCAATCGGACCAAACATATTGATATCCACACTAGCTAAAAAATTGGCTTCGGAATACTAATAAGGTCGTAGAGGCCCTTTTAAAGTCTCCTAATCCACATTTGTGGTGAAAATGGATTTCTAACCACTGAAAAAAATAAATACTAAAAGGATTTGCATTACAAAACTTAATTTCCAAATTTTCATAACTTCCCTCGCATTCAGATTTATTACGTTGCAATCTGCAGCACACATATTCCAATTTATTTCCATGTTGTTTTTTTCCTTTCTTTCATTTCACTTCTTCAATTCAATTTAATAAAAATTCATTTGCTTCAATGTCAACTGACATCTACACCGAATGAAGTGAAAAAACAACAAAGTTTTGTGTTAAACAACAACAACAGCAGGAACGCCAACATGAACTTTTTTAAGCTGTTAAATACAGCAACGAACCAAACAACCAACCAACAACTGGGACAAAAGCATCAGCCGGGAAGGTGTAAAGTATAAGTAAGCGGAAGTAACTCAAAAAACAAATAGAAGACGATAGAAGTTTGTTGGTTGGAACAACCAAACGGACGGACAGACGGAAGAAAGGATTGATGTTGCACTTTCAACTTTGTTAGAGCATGGTCGTATATATCCGAGTGTGCGTGTGTGTCTCTATGATTGTATGTGTACATTGAATTCCAACATTAACAAGTTTTAATGTTGATTTTTACAAGTTGTTTTTCTACTGCTGGTGATGGTGCTGCAGCTTCTTCTTCTTCTTCTTCTGAGTATTTGCCAGCGACTGTGTAACCAACTATAAACATTTTACAAGAAGTAACACTTAAACACTTACTTCAAAACACGCGCACACACACACACGTCCAAGAAGAACAACATTTTTCAATAAGAAAAATTATCACAGTTAAGAAAAAGCAGCAGCAGAAGAAGAACTGAAGTACCATAGAGAGAGGGAGGAAGAAAAAAACTCATTAAAACTTATGCTAGCCAATAGTAAAATTTAGTGTGTGTGTGAGGGTATTCCGGGATATGTTTTGAGGATGTTAAAGGGGACGATAAGGGGTACCAGAAAGTATGATGAATGAGTTCTAGTTTTTCGGACTTGCTGAAACCGTGAACGGTTTTTTTCCAGTAAAGTCATTAGTGTTTACATGTGTCAGAGTACGTATTAACTGATATGTATGTGTGTGATCGGTTATATGGTGCTATTTTAGCTTTGGCATTTTTGTTGGTATTAAAGGATGAAGATTGAACACATCAACAAGAAGTCATCCAATGCAGAAGTCTTCGACACATTTTCAGACATAAAGCCTTCAGATTAGTTACTAACAGGAGATCTGTCAATAGAATAAACACGAGTACCCATAAAACGATCTTCCAAAGACATTAACATTATCACGAAAATAGGGTCAACGAACAGAATCGACTCATTGGACGAGTAAAACACGGGCAGTGTATATAAACACTAGCGCTGCTACAACAACCTGAGATCTCTTGTAAAAAAACTACCTTCCAGGGGTTCGCAAAATGTCTTCTCTGCTCCTATACTGACAAAATTCCTTCCACAGGTCTTCTGTAGATAGAATGGATTCCACATAAATAGAATATCTTATCAAAAACTCCATCTAGAATTTCTATGAATTTAAAATCTTCTGGATTTTATTATATCTATAGATTGTGTGTGTAAAGTGTTCTTCAGGCCACCCTTTGCAAACTTTTTATGTGCGGAAGATGTTCTTATATAGAAGACATCTGGTTATTATGCATACCGAAAACCTGTTGAAGGCCTTTCATGGAGGGGCTTCTATCCATCCTCTCAATGAAATACATTTAAAGTAATATTCTATAGTAGAAAATATCAGAAGGATCTTCTATTAGGAGTAGAAGGCAGATGAAGTATTTTCTGTGAAAAAATGGACATTCGAGGTCAGACATAGAGCCTAGAGATCTGTCAATAAAATACCTTCCAGAGGTTCTCTTCCATTGCAAAAGGTCTTATCTGCATAGAAACGCTCCTATACTGATAAAATTCCTTCCACAGGTCTTCTATAGATAGAATGTATTCCCCATAAATAGAATATCTTATCAAAAACTCCATCCTGAATTTGTATTTAAAATGTTCTGGATGTTCTTATTTCTATAAATTGTCTGTGTGAGGCGTTCTTCAGACCACCCTTTGCAAACTTTTTATCTACGGATTCTTAAATAGAAGACATCTGGTTATTATGCATACCGATAACCTGTTGAAGGACTTTCATGGAGGGGCTTCTATCCATCCCCTGCATGAAATACCTCTCAAGGATATTTTATAGTGGAAAATATCAGAAGGATCTTCTATTAGGAATAGAAGGCAGATGAAGTATTTTCGGTGAAAAATTGGACTATCGAGGTCAAATTGTGTTCGGAAGTTTTTTGTAGGGCTTATATCTTCAAAAGACTTCAAATGAGTTCTTGTGGCTGGTCTTCTTAATATATTGCGAACCTCTGGAGGACCACCTATGAATACTTTCAATATCTCCAGAGGTTCCTCATTATATAATAGCTGTGTAAAGTCTTCTAATTATAGATAACCGCTGGAGAGTCTGCTATACATAGAAGATGTCTGAAGGATATATTAGTGGAAGAGATACATGTAGAAGACAGCAAAAGGATATTCTATGCGAAGTAAGCTTCTGGGGATGATTCTGGCTACGGAAGATTTCTGTAGGGATTCTATCAACAGAAATTCTCTGATGAGTACCTGTGGACGATCTTCTATATATAGCAATGAGTCATCTGTCAATACTCTATAATGGCAATACGGAGGGACCCTACAAGTTTCGATCCACGATCCGGGACTAGTAAACCCAAAGACACCACCGGAACACCAGAATATCCTCACGGGCATTCCGCACAACACACACACCAAACAACAAAACCTCCCAACAGTCCACACAACCCATCCACACAGGACAGTGACCCATCCACAAGCACCCGAACAACGAGCAATCAAGGGCCCTAGCCAAACACGTCTAAGCAGACGGTTCGACACCACCAGTGTTGCCAAAACTTTGCCATTAAAAAATGCTAGATTTTGTTTAAAAAAATGCTATAAAGTGCTAAAAAATTTAAAAAAGTGCCAAATAAAAGAGCTAAAAATTTATAGAAGGAATTTCGCTTATAGCTAATAATGAAATCTTAAAATTTGCTTGCAAGACCTGTAAATATTCACCTGATATCCTATTTATTCATAATCAGAATAAAATTATATGTCGATATAGCCATGTATATATAACACGCAACATTGACGACAGATCTTTGAAATTCTGCACATTGCAAACATTCCTAGGATGGTATTGAAAATGGGATATATGTGTCCCCAACCGATTTAGTTATAATTTGACATTTTGGATTTTCATTGGAAACTAGTAAAAAAGTGTCAGTCGGTGTTGCCGACAGATATATACCCCCAACCTGTGGTTTGCGGAGGTCTTCGGAATTACACACAGATTATATTATTGGCTTTATATAAGAAATATGTTTTTATCAAAGAGGTTTCGGATTTAATGTTGATAAAATTTTATAAACTACTGGGTCCAATCTTCGGAATTGATATAGGGTTGGTATTGATAATATTTCAATGCAATAATAATTCGCCTGATATTGCATTTATAAAAATTGAATATTTTGACCATTCGTGGGGGCGGTACCAGAAGTAGTGGACCAATGGGTCCCAGCTTTGGAAATAATCTAGACTTCGTAAAAATAATGGGTTGTGCATTGTTTGGTTCATATCGGACATTCCGTTCGCCTGATAATGGATTTATAAATATTGAAAATTTGGACCCCTTATGGGTGAGGTTCCAGAAGGAGTGGACCAATGTGTTCCATCTTCCTACTTGACCTAGGCTTGGTGAAGATAATAGATTGTACACAGCTTCGTTAAAATAGGATTCTCATTAGGCTGGAAATCTCCATGCCAATAATTATCAAAATTTGGCCGTGTTTCGGGGTAGCCTCCAGAAAGCAGTCATGGACGTTTTTTAATTGATTGTAATATCACATTGCGCGTATGCTTCGGAGGCTGGTTTAAAGTACCGACCTATTTTCGGTATTTTGAGGGGTTTAGCCGTATTCTATGGCCTCTGTTAGGGTAGAAAATATTTATGTGGACAATTTCTACATTTGATACTGCATTTAAAATTTCCGTCCTATTTGCATACTTTTAAAGTTTTAAAGTACGTCCAATCTAATAATAGACCTATTGAGTCACCATATGACTCAATAGGTCTATGTGGAATCGAAAAACGGAAAATTTTTTAGTATAAAACCAAATAGACGGAAAGTTTTGAAAATATCCAAAAAAAATACAAAATGCTAAAAAAGATGCTAGGTGCTAGATCAATTTTTTTGGTGCTAAACGTGTTTAAAAAGTGCTAAATCTAGCACTAAAAGTGCTAAATTGGCAACACTAGACACCACCAACAGACAACAGCGACCCCCAGAGATCTGATATTTATAGAAGTTACCTGAAGGGAATTATATCAAAAGATAGATCTAGGAGACATTAAATTGATATTCTATGGTAAATAGGCCCCTGGAGGTTATTCTGTGTGCGGAAAATCCCAATAGGTCTTCTAACCACAGAAGCCTTCCGATGGGTACCTGACCTTTATATAAAGCGAACCACTTGTGGGATATCTATATACCCTTTAATTGCAATACATTCGGAGGGTAAATAGAAGTAGAAGACAACTAAAGGATTTGCTATGAAAAATTAGGTTATTCTATGTAAGAAAAATCCCCGTAGGCCTTATATTTTCAAAGGTCTTCTGGTAAGTTTTCACGACTGGTCTGTTAATAAATAGCTGGGGGTCATCCGTCTATACTCTAAAATTGCAATATTTCCGGAGGGTTTTCACCATATAATACCTCTTTAAAATCGTTTAATTATAGATAACCTCTAGACATTCTGATATCCACAGAAGATATGTAAAAGGTATTTTATCTAAAAACAACCTTTGAAGGAATTGGTATTTTAAAGAGTACAACGGGACCCCAGAAGGATATTTTTTTCAGTATATAAGGAAGATCCCTGTAGAGTTTCTACTCCAGATGTCTCAGTACACGTGACCGTCAACTAAATTGCGAACCTCCAGAAGTTAATTTATACTTCATAACGGCAATACTTTCGAAGGGTCTTCGCTACATAATACCTGTACAGTCTGCTATCCATAGAAGATCTCCGAAGGACATTAAAGTAGAAGAAGACGTTTGAAGGTATTTCTATAAAAAGAAGCCAGTTGCAAGACTACTCTCTTACTTAATCGTTTGTACCTGTAAAAGATCCGTGGTAGGTATTCTATTTTATATACAGAATACTTAAGGTGGCAGAATGAGTAATTTCATCTACAGAAAACTTTTGGAGTGTGTTCTTCAAGCACTTTTTATCCATAGAATATCCTGGAGAACCTTCTATCTATAGAAGATTTCTATAGAGAATCTTATTCATAAGGCCTCTCTGGAATTTTGATGCCTGAAGAAAGCCTCTATAGTGTTTTTAATTTATAAATTGCCTAAGTGGGATTTTCTTATACCTATAGACAAAAAAATATTCTACCTCCCTCCAATAGAAGGCGGAACTACACTTCAAACTTTTTTTTTTCGTAGACCACACAATGCATCTATATTCTCATTTAGGACGGTTTTGTTCTCATATAATGGTACCGACCCATTTTCGGTGTATTAAAGGTTTTAGCCATATTTTCCCTTCGTACTAGCATGTTTAGAAATAGGCCCCGTATGAAGGTCCTGACC